GATAGACTGCAAAGGTCTGCAAACCACGACCGTCTGGGCCAGTAGGGAGCTACCAGAAGCAGTTCCGCTCTCTCGTCGAGCAGCTTCTGGATGGCCTTGGGGATCAGTGGAAGGGATGGGAATGCGTACAGAAGCCCCAGGGGCCAACGGCAACGGAGCACATTGAAATTCTCCGCTCCTTGTGAGGGGTATCTGGAAAGAAATCTCGGGAGCTGAGCATTGAGGGGGGAAGCAAACAGGTCTACTACTGGCTGCCCAAATGTCCTGACCGCCTCTTGAAAGAGGGTCGGATGGAGATGCCACTCCGATGGATCTATCGTGGCCCTGCTTAGCCAATCTGCCTGTGTATTCGACAGTCCTGAAATGTGTTCTGCTCTGATGGAAATCAGGTTGCTCACTGCCCAACGACACAAATGCTCCACTTCTCACATGAGGTGTTTCGACTGAGTTCCCCCCTGTTTGTTTATGTGAGCTTTCGTGGTTACGTTGTCGGTCAATATTAATATGTGTTGGTTGTGTACCTGTGGAAGGAAGCTGCAGAGAGCTAGGTGTACTGCTTGAAGCTCCAGCCAGTTTATGCTGTGCAATCGTTCTATGGAGGACCAGCGGCCTTGGGCTGTGAGCGATTGAAAGTGAGCTCCCCATCCAATCAGGCTGGCATCGGTGGTGATGGTAAGTCTGTGGGGCTCTTTGAATAGGCAACCTTTGTTTATGGCTGGTCTGGTCCACCAGAGGAGAGATATGAGGACCTGTGATGGAACTTTGACCTTGTATTTGGAGGTGCTTCGGCCGGATCGCTGGTACGGGAGCAGGAACCACTGGAGGGATCTAGTGTGGAGCTGGGCCCAAGGAATAATAGATATACATGAGATCATCTTGCCTAACAATTTTGATAGATCAGCTAGGGACACCCTCCTATGAACCCTGACCTCCTTAACTAATTGATGAATGCTGTTTCGTCTATCTGGTGACAGGAAAACTTTGCCTTCCACTGTATCTATGACTGCCCCCAGATGGATTAATCGAGTCAAAGGTGTTAAATTACTCTTTTCCCAATTGATTGAGAACTCGTGTAGTTGTAGGGAGTGTAATGTGGTCTGAGTATCTATGACTGATTGATGAACAGAAGATGACAAAATTAAGATATCATCGAGGTAACACTGCAGTTGTATGGGGACACCCTGGAGATGAGCAGCGAGGGCTGCGAGAACCTTTGTGAAGGTCCTGGGGGCAGAGGCTAGTCCGAAGGGAAGTCACCTTTTCTGATACCAAGTAAGATAGATTGTAGGGTGTGCATTTTAAATTTACTAAAAATTGATTAAGGCGTTTCAAATCCAAGATTGTTCTCCACCCCCCTGAACTTTTGGGAACAATGAAAAGATGTGAATAGAAACCTTGCCCTTGTTGGTCGGTAGCTACTGGTTGGATGGCTCGTATGTCCAGTAGGTGCTGAATAGCTGTTTCCATAAGATTTCGTTTAACTGGATCTCTGGAAAGAGGGCACGACATAAAGAAGTCTCGGGGAGCGGATTGAAACTCCAGCGCGAGGCCGAATCTGATTGTGTCTCTGACCCAGGAATCAGACATTGAGGAGTCCCATTGGTCCGCAAATAATTTAAGGCGGCCGCCAATGGGAGCCAGGTCCATGGGGTTATCTTGGACGCCGGAAAAATCTATTTCCCTTTCCTCGGGAGGATTTCTTGGCTTGGCCACCCCTTCTGTTCCTATCCCCAAAGTCTGACCTCTCTGGCTGTTGCCCTGGTCGGAAAGGTGGGGGTCTCTGGTATCTGGTTGAGAACGGTCCCTGATAGAAGGGCCGAAAGGATCCCCTCCGAAAGGACTAAGGGTTTCTAGGGTCTGACTTCTGAAAAAGGGAGGGTAAAATTTTCTTTTTGTTTCGAGTCTCTATGAGTAGCGGATCGAGGGAAGAAAGAGGAGGATGGCTCTAGACTGTGGGGTGAGAAGGCTTGAGAGGTCCTGTGTGCCTCCCATGTGCACTTATCTATTTGTTTTTCCAGTGCCTTGTGGCGCCTGTTGGCATCCTTTTCTGATGCCTTAGAAGTCCCCCCCCCTTTTTTTTTTGCTTAGGATTGTGTTGAGATTTGGACTTGCCCCTTGAAGTTGAGGAGTATGAACCACTACCCCCTGCCATTGTGATTGTGGAAGGACCAGTACGCTCATTATTTGATGCTATATTGTGTAGGCGGTGGGCATGCCCAGGGACCTGGCCAAGAATGGACAAGGTGCCCTGAAATCAAATCCCCCATTTTTTTGTTTTTTGTTTTTGTTTTATTTTAAATATGGATATCTGCTTCAAAATTGAGTTGTATCTCAACAAATAATTTATTATTATTATGAAATTGCCAGTATTATTATATTGGTATGATTAATATTATCAGAGTGTATGGGTATGCAAATATATATCAAATTTGGATGTCCCAATCAGCCAAATTGAGAATGCCTAGCAGGCTAAATAATCACTCACAGGCCTTCAACAGCTTGCCTGCACAGGTGGACACTGGCCTAGGTGCTCGCTGTTGTGCTGCTGGATAGGGAGAACTGTGAGGGTTGAGCCAACAACACGAATTAACAAAAGCCTTGAATATATTGGAAACGAGGTTGTAATGATTCCTTGGGGTATTTTGTGTAAAAAACCCCTTCAATCTGGAATAAGGATTACCTCACACAGTCTATTGAATTAGCACTCAATGCGGCCACGTGGTCCCTTGACAGTAAAAAAAAAAAAAGGCAACCGGAAGTTATTTGTGGCGCACGCACCAGCAGCAATCTCCCGCTGACAAAAAGAGATAAGCTCCAACAGCCTTCCCTTAGGGCTAAACCGGCGGGGAGGGGTGAAATAACAAGGGAATTACACCTCCACCCCTAAACGGCATTCTTGGGGGAAAAGAGAAACTGCGATACGACTCAGGGAGAGCAAGAGAAAAAAAACCCTCGCCATTTAAATGATAAAGCAGCTCGACAATCGTAATGGCATGGGTAAGGGCTAGCGGTTGGGGGGGGGGGGGCGAAATGAAATCGAAGCCTCCCTGAGCTTAGGAGCGCTTTCTGCGATGCCCAACGGCCAGATGGCAAGGGCAGCGTCGGTAAGAAAAGAACAATTGACTATCTGCAAACCTTAAAGAGAATTCTCCTGTTTCGGCCAAGAATTAACGAGAAGCACTGCCTATCTCTCACGAGGCTGGGCCAAAACTGGGGAACGCTGGGGAGGAGTCCCATGGAGGAGGAGGAGGAGCGTTCTTCAAATTAAGCCCGGCCTAGATAAGCAGAGACTGAAGCACCTCCCACTACTGGATGCTCTGAGCAGCTCGTGGGAAAATGGGTCACATAGAAGGATTAGGCAAGATTAGAATAGTAGAAGAGAAGAAGGAAAGGAATGGTAAAAATCAAGAAGGAAATTAAGGGCAAAGTTGGAGGATGACTGGGATGAATTAAAACAAGTTTAATATTGCCACTGAAGGAGACAAGGTCCTTAGGCAGACAATTAGAACAAAGGAGAAGGGATGTCATAGTATTACTTATATTTCTTCTATTTATTTGATTAAGAAGGTAGAGCTTTAAATGCATTGGTTCTTCATGGGTCACATACAAATTTAATTCCATTTTTGTCATCCCATCAGTTTTAAACTTATTATACTCTGATTTCCAAATTTGTAGGAAACAATAACTAGTTATCTTTACCAGCCATCCAATGGGAAATGCAAACAGGGATTAGTTGCTGTTCTAAAAGCCATATTATTTTTGCAACCAAGGCTTACATGGAACACAGATTGCCCATGCTTGGTGAAAACTAATATATGATATTCTACCAACACAAATGGAGAGATGAATAGCAGGAGAGACACTGAGCAGATTCTACATGTATTAGTTCTCATGAATAGAAAAGGCTTCATTTCTTCTGTTTTTAAATACCCACTAAGCTATGAAAGCTGCATATCTCTTAATTAGTGACTCAGGCAGAAAAATAATCATTGAACTCGAATTTCTACAAATAGTAAACAATGAAGGATCCACCTGGGCAGCAGAGCCAAAGAAAGAATCCTTCCCACATAAACTCCCATATATATCTTTTAAATGCTATTGAATGCTACAATATTTGATTCCTGTAAGCATGAAAAATGCTAATAGATATTGTCAAATAATTGTATAATACTGATCATTTGAAAAGCATATCACATTCTCAGGAATAGCCAAGGGTGGGTTTCTACCGGTTCTGTCCACCTCTGTAGAACCAGTAGCTCTGAAGAGCAGCAGACCTAGAACCGGTTCTAGGTCTGCTGATGTTTTTCCCCACCCGCTCACCCGGACTCTTACCTGACCTTTATTTCCTGCTTTTTCAATTTCAGGTGCAGTTTAAAAAGCAGGAAAAAAGTGCTTTTTGAAAGGCTGCTTCTCTGCACGCAGCGTGCTGATGACGATTTGCAGGGAAGCACATCGTAAATCACCGAACCTTGTAAATCACCGAACCGGTAGTTAACCCTATCGGATCCCACCTTGGGAATAGCTTATATAATTCATTCTTTATAAGTAAAAATGTGCAATTTGTTTACCATTCCAAAAGTGAATTTTTTAAAAGCAAAAATTATTATGTTATTATTGCAGGTGTTTAAAAGTTAAGTTACACCAAAGTATAAAAGATAATACCCAATAAAATAAACAAACACAATAGAATTAAGCCGCAAAATTTTGATAGGAAAGCTGTTTGCTATAGTTTCCCTTGGAATTTTAACTCAGCAGTTTTTAAATTCTATCCTCTTAAAATCTGCATCCAAACATGTAGGTTTAGATGTTTTAATGCATATATAATATAATTTATATGCATATATAAAGAGTTGTGAAGTACCTTGTTCTTCTAAAGAGTTAGCTGTTGTTATTTGCATTTTCTGAATGTTTATTAAAATTAATTCCTAACAGATATACATGCACAATTTCACAATAATAGACTAGTGAAGATTATACAAATTGATCAGTGATATACTTACAGTTGCATTTTTTCTGCACAAATCTAAGCTTACATGCTGTTCGGTAGGTGGACAAACGGATACGATCCAGATCTTGAGCCCCTAATGGTGGAGAAGTATATGTGCTAAGATATATGTGCTCTGTGCCTAAATCTCACCCAACAATACTCACATAAGCTTTCTCTACGATATTTTAGAGCCTTTTATTACCCACAGTTAATTTGGGGTAAAATGTTTACCAAAGGGGAAGTTTCAATATAGTTTTATTAAATAAATATGTTTCTTGACTCCCAATATGATCAAACCACAAGCAAAAAATATAAAGCAAATACCAAACAGCTGAGTTCCAATACAGGGAAAGTTCTTAAAATTAACAGTTTAGTTCACATAAAAAGTTCTTTTGAACTGAACTCTTGGTGACTTCATGGACATTTCCTACAGGGTTTTATTTTATTGACTGACTGACTGACTGACTGATTGATTGACTGATTGCCAGAGGTCCTCATGAAGGAGGAGAAAGCATGGCAAGCTGAGTTCAATAAACACACACAAACATTTCAGTGGAAGTTTTATCTATTGATTATGACAGGAAAAGATTATCTTTCTGCAACCAATGGAAACAGTTATTATTATTTTTAGTAACTACGAGCTAAGACAGGGATATTACACCATTACCCAAGTGCCAGGCTTTTGAAGACTTTTTTTTTGTTTCTAGGTATTTGGAAAGTTAATTTTTATCAGTAATGGACACAGAGAAAATGCTTGTTCCTTTAATTATCTTCCTAGTATTAGCAGGAAATTATACTGTCATAATTTTGTGGTTCACTCTGCCAAAGAATTTGGTAAATATTTTGGGAAGCATCAAAAATGGCTTCTGCTATTGACAATGAATTGCCTTTTCTTGATTTATGTAAACCAAGCTAGAAAAGCAATCAGTTGTATATGCTAGCATCAAGGGTGAGTCAGTATCTTTGCTTGACTGAAGCTGATATGTTATCTTTAAACCAGATATGACCTACTTACGGTCCTTGGATAAATTTGTTTATGACATTCATTGGACGATACAGATTGCAAGAGGATTCGTTGCCTGAACACTTACTATGTTCTAATTCATCCAGTCTATTTGCAATGTTGGAACAAAGGGTATCTTAATCTGGGGGTCTCTGACAAAAAGGCAGGAAAAAGATAACAAAAACCAACAGTGCTATACTGGCAATCACAAATCTGTTTTTTTATTACAACTAGGCTAAGATAATTCTCCAAGGTAAAATCAATCAGCTTCAGTCTTATTATTCAAAGATACTGTTTACTGTTTTCAGAATATAAAGACATATGTTTTAATTATGATAAAATAATGAAATTTAGTTAGCAAAATGGGAGCATTTCTTCGGTTACCCCATTAGCAAGATGATTTTATTTAAAAGATTAGGGTTGGTCTAAGACAGAGGTCTCCAATCTTTGCAACTTCAACTCCCAGAATTCCTCAGCCAGCCAGCATGGTATCCAACCTGCAACATGGCTCGCTGAGGAATTCTGGGAATCTGTTTTGGTATTATAACTAGAACACAGAGGAGGCGTGTTGATGGTCCTCTATTTAACTTCCATATTGGGAGGAAAGAAAACAGGGTTTTTTTTCCCACTCTTCATTGACACTAACAAAACTTTTACTTATTTTTTCCCTTTTATCTGCCAAATATTCTACACAAGTTTCTTTTATCAACTAACTGTTTCAATACAATCTGTGGCTGGCAGATTGTCCTAAACTATTTGGTGTTTCATCCTGGGAATTTACTTTAATCACTGGTCATGTCAAACACATAAGAAGCCATTTCAGTGATCCCCAGTTTTTTTTTCTTTTTAAAATGCCATGTTAATATATTGAATGTTACTAAGTTTGCTTTTTGCTTTTTAAAATATTTCTGGGATTTTTAAATTTTTGTTTTAACACAGTTCTGTTTCATTCCCCAATGAAGACAATACATTAATTTTTTTAAAGGATTGAGTTTTTTTGGTGGACTTCCATAATAATAATAATTCCTCAAGTGTTAATTGGGTCATTAATAATGGGACTAAGTAATAGTGATACAGAGCTTCAAGATTTGTTTGAAGAAGCAATCCGTCACATTGATAAGTCTTAAGATACAGTTGAAGTGCATCTGCAAAAAAAGTGATATAGCTTTGAATCTATATATAGGTATGCTTTATATATTATAATACTATTTTATTTGGACTTTGCTTGTGGCTGATGAGACCAGAAGTCTAAAATATTTAGATGGCTTTAGTTAGCTAAAGGTGCATTGTGAAGGATCCAACTCAACTGCAAGTTGAAGTATCTTAATTAGTGTGCACAGCACACTAAATCTGAAGGCAAAGAGGTCCTTTGGAGCAGGGGTCACCAACCATTTGGACCTCAGGGACCACCAAACTCATAATTTTAGATCCCAGGGACCACTAAATGGTTCTGTGGGTGTGGCCTAATTTGCGGATGTGGCTTGGTGGTCATGTGACTGGCTGGGCATGGCTTGTATGTAAATATTATAAATATTTATATGAATATTGAATTTTTTATTAAAAAAGCAACTTTTACCCAAAATCAGGCAAAGCAGGCAGATTGAGTTGCTCACAGAATCATTCAGTGATCTATCTATCTGCCATCAGCTAGCTCAGTCTCTCAAATTTGCCATGAGTCTGCACTGAATTTGCTTGCAAGCAAACCTTCAGTCCTAAGGGAGGTTCGGCTGTGTTTAGCTAGAAAGCAAGAAATCCAACCATTTCCTGCTTCCTAGCAAATCTAAATCTCCTGGCACAGCAGAACAGATGATGGTCGGAAAAAGGAAAAATAGCAACTTAGCAGACGTTTACCGGGTAAGGAGTGAGTGGACGGGGAGGGTTACCGCTGGCCATGTGGGCTCAGCAGCCTTCTGTTTCTGCGCAGCCTGGATTAATTGCTTTGGGGGGGTGCTCTGGGGGTGAGATTTCTCTGTGGCCCACCAGAATTTTGTCATAGCCCACCAGTGGGCCGCGGCCCACCGGTTGGCGACTGCTGCTTTGGAGTGTGTGGCATTTGTCTGCATATTTATTCTGCTATTGCATAGATGTCCTTCACTGGCACCACGATTCCAAGAAAAGACACATTCAGGTTAAAAACTGCAGACAGCTGCTACATGTATGACTCCTTATAGTTCAAAAACCTTTTGTTGCTTTTCAGCCTAAAGCATTGCACAGTTTTAATATTAATGTCAACGTTATACTGTTTTAATTCTACCCACAAAATAAAATGCCAAACAACATTTGTATTCTGGCAAACCTTTAAACATATTCAAAATTATGAAAGTAAAAATGTGATTTAGGAAACTCAGAAAAACATTGCATTTCTTGGGGTTGAACAATCCAGAACAAATTACATAGATTACATAGAACAAGGTGCACATGAGTTTATACAGAATTAGAACAGCCTTTAACTTTGTTTATTCAGCATTTGGGGAAAATTCAGTGCCAACAAATTGGGTCAGCATCCAGTGAAGAAAATGGAATTACAGTGACAAAATATATTTGAGTTTCAGTATGGTTACTGGTGAGAAACAATGTCTTTGACTGTTCACATTCCTTTTCTCCCAAAAAAAGAATACTAGAGATATTCATCTCTAGGTCTGCATTGAAATAATTAAAAAGCAGCACTTTGTCAATTAAATGTAGTTTCTTGCTACTGTTTTGTGTTGAAAATTCTTACTTTGTAGAACAAACTGCCTATAGCCCAGAGCATAATCCATGTAATTTTTACCACGGGTATACTCTTGTTGGCCTTTTGCAAGAAATTTAACATCTGTCGGAAAAACAACAGAACAAAATATAACATGCCATAGAACTTACGCATTTCTGCAAACAGCTGCCTCCTTTCTGCCATGGTAGCGCCTCTTTTCCCACAATCTTCAATCATTCTAAGCAAAAGAATATTAAACATATCTTCAAAACCATTTACAAACTAAGGACATAAAATATAATTCCAGGACACTATTTTTCCAATTCTATATTCAATCTTTATTTTTTTATTTCTATAGCCTCCCGTCTCAACAAATGACTAGAGAGCATACAACATGAAACATAAAGACCATTAAAATTATTAAAACAATACAAAATAAATATATATGGCATCAAATAAAAGTGTTATTATGGATGTTAATATAGTCTGGAAATGCGGGAGTCTAAATATGTGGCTGACTGTGCAACCAGTCATAATGTTTAAAGCCCTTTGAAACTTTTAGACAAAATTATATAGAAATGTATTCACCATTGGAAAACAAAAGGAAGAACATATAGCTCAGTTTCCGTTTAATTTCAGTTCAATTTAGTTTAGAGTATCTTATGGAGGAAAAATCCATACCTTCCCATAATAGATTATAAACTTCAAATTATAAATTTCAGTCTGATTCCCTTTCTGCATTTCTTTTAACAATCAACATTTATCTACCAGCAGGTTTTTTTCCAGTTTATACAGTACATTTAACACCAATTTTGGATAACATCAGAAAATTGTTCTGTGTTTTTTCATCTTATAATTGAAAAGTTCTAGTAGCATCTGTCTGTTCTACATGTAGAGAAAGTATATAGCGTGCGGCAGGGGAAAAAGAGCTGCTAATTTACATTAAGTGTGATAATTCAATAGCTGTGTGTTCAGTTTTTGCCTTGCAAGGAGAAGGGATTTTTAAAAAAATATTTCTTTGATTAAACTCTATTGATGATGGCAACCATTATTTCTATTGATAAAAAGTTTTTTTCTTTTTATTTCACTATAAATAATGAAACAAATTAAATGTTAGAATCTGATCCATAATCAAATTATGTTTATTTTACTTTATTGCTCCTGTTGGGGCTTCTTGTGTGAGAAACATTTTAACTGTTGGCCCATATTATTTTTCTGATTTAAACTTCCTCCAGAGTCTATTAATATTTTTTCTTAATAATATAAAAATTCGTATAGATTAGCAATTTTTTCCTCTAGTAGAATTAAAAGCAATTTTAAAGGTGATCAGCAAGAGTAGAGAAAAGCTGGCCCAATTTTCAAAGCTAACACTGATTTTAACATCAGATAAAATAATATTATATTGGAGATCTGGAAATCATGTACTTTTCTTTTTTGAAGCAACAGGTTTGGACAATATAATACATTATGAGTCTACAATAATATGTGTCTATTTATATACACACAAACCCTTCATCCATGCATCCAAGACTGATTAATACAACAGAAACCAGAAACAGAAAAATATTTATTTTGGCTTCAGCCTTCTTCAGCTGTTGTGAAATAGTGGAATGTAGTACACAAATTTCTCTGTAACATTCCAAATATCTATATTAGACAAAAAGACATATATAATAATTCACACACTGTCAATTTTTATTTATTAAATTAATACGTTCTGGCAACTGTAAGTATACCATCATGGTCAGAATAATTAACCAAGTTAACCAACATTACAACAGTAATATAACAATATTTAAAGATTTAGTAATATTGGACATCAATTATATTCCTTCAAAATAGCTGGATTTCCTACAGATCAGCCTTCCAAAATAGGCAAGTACAATGAATTCTTGTGACAACAGAAACTTTATGTCAACATGCTTTAAACTAGCTATGTAGTATGGCAATCTGAGGGGATAAACTCTTTATGGCTACTATTATAACAGCTCATGAAATGGGAATAGGATTTGGATAATCCACTATAAAAAGAATAAATATGAAGACTCTGAAAATCTTACATTGGGCTGTATTTAAGAAGAAACAGTATAGCAGATTAGAAAGAGGTGAAAATTGTTTTTTCATTTATAATACGTTAAAAATCATGTAAGGACACCACAATCATGAAGGTCATCTATTATCACTGCCAAGAGAATCTCCAGTAAAAGGACCTCACACAAGAAGATAGACTATATTGGTTCCATCCTTAAAGTCCAGCTAACATGTTTCCAATATGATACAAATGCAATACAAATTAACCTTGTTTTAAAGCAACAAAGCAATTGTATCAGTATTTCCAGAATCGCTCTAGAAGAGGTGAGGGTATTTTTTGAAGTGAAACAGTTTGTTAATGGAGTTATTGTTACCTTCTCTTATAGATATTTAATGGTTTCTTCTGAGAATTGAAACAATAATTTAAATTATCTGAAGAAGTAAATGCCATGTATCATTCCGTCAAGTAACAAACTGAGGTACTTAGATCGAAACAAAATGGCGGCTTCTGAAAACAATGAGACAGATAATAACACTTCTAGATAATCTCAACTGTTAAAAAACAAAAACAAATGACTGGCCTAAAGTTATTCAGTAAGCTTCCATGGTTGAAGATGAATTTGAACATGTTTTCCTGATCCTGCCTAGGGGATCAATCATTACACCACAGTCCATAGATGATATGGACCCCTTACAGTTTGTTGAATTTTTGGAAAGGGGTGGTACACCTACAAAGAGAAGTACCCACAGAAGCAGTCATTTTAATATGCAAAGATATATTTCTATTTTTTTTATTACACAGGCAAGCTGTGTTTTCATTTCTAAATATTTTTAAAAGCAGGCATGGAAACATGAAAAACTATGCAAACCTTTCCAAGAAACAATATGCCATTATTCATTATTTTGACATTTTTAATATTGTGCAATTCAGCTTTTTCTGATGTTTTATGTGATATAGCTTATGCCCTTTCTCTATATTTCAAAAGCAAAGCGTCAGGATCAATTTCCCTTCATTTGGGTAAGAAATGCCAAAGATATTGTTCACTGAGATGCATTTAGAGCAGGCGTGTCAAAGTCACGTCGTCACAGCAGTGTCACGTGAAATATTGGGACTTTTCCCCCTTTGCTAAACTAGGTGTGGGCGTGGCCAGCGTGTGACACATCCGGCCTGTGGGCCAGGAGTTTGACAGCCCTGATTTACAGATACAGGTCCTTGTGAGACTTGTGGAAATGTATTTTTAAAACTTTTGTTTTTTAGTGGCAGCAGAGATTGAACAGGACCGTTCCATTCTTTTTCCTACATTCATTCCTTTTTCTTGAAGACAATTCATGCAGCTGGGCCACATTACCAAGATGGACACAGCACTTCTACTTAGTAAAAAGGATTTCAAGATTTCAACTTTGCATTTAATGGCTTAATCCAAACATTGATTTCCCCCCCACAACTAATGGTGGGCCAAGTTCTTGGCACATGTCTGAGATTGTTCACAGCATTTATATCAGGGGTATCAAACTCAAGGTCTGGGGGCTGGATCCGGCCCACGGGGTGCTTGCATCTGGCCCATGGGGCTGCCCTGAAAACAGCAAAGGATTGGCCCGTGGTGCCTCTGCCAGTGAAAAGGGAGGTCGGAAAGGCCATCTGCAGCCCTCCCAAGCTCCAATTTCGCTGGCAGAGGGTTATGTCCCTTTTCCAATAAAACAAACAATAACTAAAGGAAACAGAAACCTTTTTTAATGAGTCTTACGAATCCCCAGTTAAAAGGCTGCTGCAAACTAATTAACTTTGATAAGCACAAACATCGTCAAAACTGTGTGAGACTGCCAAGAATCACAGATAAGAAATATTTCACAACACAAGAGTCTTCAAATACCAACTTAAAATACTGTAATGTCCATGAGGTTGAGTTTCAAAACATTTTTGCTTCCTGCAAAGAACGTTCGCTTCACAGGTGGCTTTTATCTTCTTGAAGGAGGGGCCATTACCTTGCAGCCTTACTCCCAAGTCGCCCATGCTGTTTTAACTGCTGTTTCCTGCGAGCAATCCTTCGCGCATGCACACTTGGCACAGGCTCCTCGGAACCTCCTCATTGCTGCTGCCAGCCCCCACAATCTCTGAAGGCAGCAGTCCACTCCCTAATGGTCCTGGCCCCTTATCTGAGTCCTCGCTCTCCTCAGCCATCCGCACCTGCTGCCAGCTAACCACAACAGGTTACAGAAGGCCGGCACAGCCGAAAATGGAGCTTGTGAGGTTGTTTCACTGGCAGAGCACTCAGGTCACCACAGGCGCCCCCAACATGAGTGACATTGAGCTGGCCAGGCCCCTTGTCATGCCCCCCCCCCGCCCTCCAAGGTCAAACACAACCCTGATGCAGCCCTCAATGAAATTGAGTTTGACACCCCTGATCAGGTAAGGGTTGTATGGGAATCAAAATGTAGACCTTGCTTTATAAGATTCTGTTAGCTCAAAAGATGGGCATTTAATGCAGATTTAGAAAAGTTTTCATCTGAAAAAGAAGCCTTGAACCCAAATCCCTCAGTATCACCATTGCCTCTTTGGCTACACCAGGATGCTATTGGCTAACTCAAATATAAAGGCTGCTGAGTTCATAAATCTACGCATCCATGATGATTTAGTGTGACTGCTGGGGTATTTCATCAAAGAAAAAGGCTTCTTGGGGAAAAATTAAGCTTCTTTGAAAATAACTCCCCATTTCTAAACAGCTCTTCTGATTACCTAATTTATCTTTGAAAAATTATGGTCTGGCTCTAGGTATAAACTCTAGAGGCAGGATCATAAAATTTTTCAGTTAACTGAAGACTAATGCTACAGCAACATTCAATTACATTTTTTCTTGCTGCTGTCTCATTCTTGATAATAGGATTTTCATGAACTTAACTGTCTGGATGTATTAACCAGTGCAACATGGAACCCATTGAGTACTGTCTGCTCAGTATCTGATTTTCTCTACCTCATGAACCCTACTTTGTAGTTTGTATTATGGAACAGATATTAAAATATTAGGAAAACAATCTGTTCTAATGGTGCCGCCATTCTTAATTTCCTTGGACAGCCTGAGATGAATTATTGATTTGCTTCCAGTTTTCAGTTCATTAAGTGTAACCTACCACTCCAGATCCTGAAGTAAATATTCTGCTAACTTCACCTCATCTAGATGTGCTAGACTTCAACTTTCATTATTCCCAGAA